AATATAAATTAACTTTTGTTTGGTTTGAAACGGAATCGGAATTGTCGTCAATCGTTGGGATGAAGTTCTTGTGAATATATGTAAACAGGAATTGTCGGAATTGATAGCAACTATAGTCAGAAACATGCGTTTCTAACCAACACTTAGTTATCACTAAATCACAGTTGAGTTTCTAAATGATTCATAAAAATAGCATATTATTCACAACTATATTAATGTAACGTTAAATATAAAATACTTCATAGGAATTATTGAATAGATTCTTAATAATCCAAATGCGATGACTCCAAGAGTGATAATTGCGATTATAACGACTCGCGGCCTCTAAAGTCACTCGTAATTCATTTGTTATCAACTCATCCGAAATGGTCTCGGATTTCATGAGATATTTGAGAAGCCATTCACTGAAACGAAATCATTTAATGGGTTTAAAATGATTAGCACTTCAAACCCTCAGTCATGACATACCGGTGCGAGAAATTGTCTCCCGATTTAGGTTTTCGCGTCAAAATGACTTCAGAAAATTTGAGTTCAGACAACACTTTTAGGTAACCCTTTTCTATCAACTCTTTTCTATTCAATTCAACAATAAATTGCAATAATTATTGATAACATATGAGAGAGAAATCGGTATACAATATGAGAAAGAGGTCAGACCTGGCGCTCCACGCGGTGCTCAGATCGCCGTTAATTAATAGTAAGGCTCGCGTCCACTCATTGATACTGTCATCACCTTTGGATCAGTTATTAACAATCAAAGCATTTATTGGTTTACAACAAGAATTGAATACCGATTCTGTTAGCGATTCTGGAGTCCAAGAATTTATGGTAAGTATAGTGATAGAGATGTCGGACACACCAACTCTCGAGGCCCAGTCTGTGCTCCACGTGAACCACTGGACTCTTATTGCAAACCGAGTCCTCAATGCAAATGATATCAAACTCTAATCTATGGATCAAAACAAACACCAAAAGACAATACAATCGTTAAATCTAATGATGGCTTCAAATTTGAATGAAATAAATCGTTTGTCAATACATTTGTGTATCTCTTTTGAAGATGACATTCAAGTCGTGCAAAATCCTCTCACATAACGAGTCGTTTGCCAAAGACATGACCACTCATTCATACAATCACTTCCACTGATTGTGACATTCAATACAATTAATTGATTGCAAACAACAATTGTAATCAAAGTTAGCGTTCAATTCAACTTCAATTGCAATGAAAACACAAATGCATACGAAATAAGGGATCGTTTTATCAATCAATTCAACACAAGTCGACGTTTTCACTAAACTTCACAACAAATCACAACAAATTCAACACTCATTTTAACACTCAATTCACGTCTATTTTAATCACAATTTATTTATTGTATTTTAAATGAGCAGTAAATACAGTGTATTGTCATTAATGTTATTCATTAACAGCTAATTGTTGTGTCAATTGTTGATTGAATACATTCACAAAATCTTAAACATTATGTAAATAATATGCAAATTATTGTTGACTACAAACACGTGGTTATGATTTGACACAACATTTAAATGAATTCAATTAAATGTGAAATACATGTAATTAGACACACATTTGACGACAAAGTGGTGTTAAATCAGTGAATATTTGAATTATATTGTGATTGAAATGAATGTCAATATTTTGCGGTCAGAATTGGAGGCAATCGTCAAATCATTTGATAATAATTTAATTAATAAAGAGTTTGGACCACAAAATAGTGATCAGATTTTTGTCAATGAATGGATAAGTAATCGGTTTAACGATAATTATCGTACAAATGAAGAAATCACTACCAAATCAAAGCCAATAAAAGCTAAAATAACTATAAATGAGTTTCAGTTTGAATTACAATCCGTATTAAAATTGTTATCAAAATTTGATGAAAAGTTAAATACTTTGAACGGATTTGTCGATAGTTTTGATGACAACAAATGGATTCATTTAATCAATGAATTGAATGAACAAAAAGCTGTGATAAATGATAAACTTTTGTCTATTAAAGCAAACTTTCCGTTAATTAAATGCAAAATTAATGAAAATAAAAAGAAACGAAATAAAAAGTTAAATAAAAATATAACTCATAAGAGATTAACGGAAGAAAGTGTTGAAAATAGGAATAAATTAATCGATGAATGGATTGAAAGCAATAAACTGTTGAAAGAAAGGACTGAAAACGAAAGGCGTGTGAAATGCGAGGCAAATGTTGTGGCAATTGATGTGAAAAAGAAAATTAAAGAAACGATTAAATGTTTAAAGAAAGTGAATTCAATCGAAAAGTTGAGAAATATTCTCAAATCCAAAGTCAGACAAAGATCTGAAGAGATTAGCGATGAGAGCGACGTCTCGTTTAGCCATCGATGCAATGAATTGAAGAGTTTATTGAAAGAAAGACTGGAAATGTATCGCAAAGAAGAAAATGCAATCAATTGTATGGTTAATATCGAAGTTCACAAACAATTGAATGATAAACAGCAAGAATTGTTCACTCATTTAAGTGAAAGTCAACATCAAATCTATGAATGTCTGTTTGGGAGCCAATCGTTTCCCGAGACTAATAATCCGGAATCGCTTAAGAATTGGCAATTCTTTGAGAGAAGTCATCACAACATTCATAATATGATTGCAATTAGAAATTCCTGGGATTCCTATCTTGATATGAATTGTGGCGGTTCTGTGCCTAAGAATTATGTAATGCCTAACAATACACCTAATAATGATTGGCAAATGTATATACAATGATACTGTAATACCATATTTATTAACAAAATAATCTTTCTTAAAATTAAATTAAAAATTAAAACAATTTATTATTTAATACACTGTAAAGAAATGTTTGAAATAATGAAATAACCCCTCGATATATAGCCATTGAGTGAGAATTGAACACTATTTACAAATAACTCTGTATTTGTTTTTTAATAAATGAATACATTTTACATACAGTAAGTGTAGTTAATAATGAGATTACTTTGAAAGTTGTGATAATTGACCATGATCAATTAGCGCTCAATTGATAAATCATTGCACAAATTGAGAGAAATGCCCGAAAAGAAGAGCAAATGCGAGACAAAGAGCGATGCGATTGAAGACAAATGTGTCGACTCTGAGACCAATTGTCCGACAAATTCGGTTCAAATCAATGCTTTGAATCACGAAAGCAGAAGAAGTGCTTTCTCTCCCTATAGGGTCTGTCCATTGCTTTGTCCCAAACACTCTATGTTTACCTCATTTCTCGTATCACATGATAATAGCCGTCGACTGTCTTAACGAATCTGCAGAGAGGAAACATTCAGACACAGACGCCGACCAATTGGCCCGAAAGGAGTATTCATCAGTTGTCGGCGATGGGAGAACTCTTTGACCAAAATCTAGGTTT